AGCGGCCACTGCACTCCAGTCTGGGCAACAGAGTGAGACTCCAACTCAAAAAATAATAATAATAAAATAATAAAATTGATGTAAATGAGAAATAGTAATAAAGCATAATTTAATGTTTTAAGCACTAAAATAGTCTAGCAATTAAAAAATGCTGGGCAGGCCGGGCTTGGTGGCTCAGCCTGTAATCCCAGTACTTCGGGAAGCTGAGGCAAGTTCGAGCCCACGGGTTCGAGACCAGTCCGGGCAACTTGGTGAGAGGTTGTCTCCACAATAAAACAAAAAATTGGCCGGGTGTGGTAGCATGCGCCTATAGTTCTGGCTACTTGGAAGCCTGAGACAGAAGGATCACTGGAGCCCAGCAGGTCGACGCTGGGATAGCCTTGAGCATGCTACTGTACTGCAACCTGGGCAACAGAGTGAGATTCCAACTTAAAAAAAAAAAAAGTCAAGTTGGAAGTTGGAGGTAAAGTAGAGTTAAGTGAAGAGAGAAATACCTTGGATTAAAATGAGTAGAAATACGTTTGTTGAAAGATTTAAGATCAAATAGTGACTGATAATAGCTGAAATTTTAGAGAAATTATTTTAACTAAGTATTTTTTAAATGTCTGTACTTAAAAACGTAATTTAAATGGTTATAATCAAAGCATAAATATTAATAAATTAACTAGCTAGAAGGCAATTTTTATAAGAAAAGCATAATAGAATTGCAATTTAATTAATTAGCTCAGTTATTTATGTTCATGAACAAAAAATTTAACTACTTAGCTTCAGCATTCACGTGGTAGCTACTAGAATTGCAGATATAGTGCCCTAGGAAGAAACCAGCTACTTCCTTAGATCAAATACTATAATTTTAAGCCTACTAAATAGAAACCAATACCCCATCTTCCTTAAGAATGTAAAATCAGGCCGGGTTCCGTGGCTCAGCCAGTAATCCCAGCACTTTGGGAGGCCGAGGCAAGTGGATTGCCTGAGCCTGCAGGTTTGATACCAGCGTGGGCAACTTGGCGAGATCATGTCTCTACAATAAACAAAAAATCAGCCAGGTATGGTAGCATGCACTTGTAGTTCCAGCTACTTGGAAGGCTGAGGCAGAAGGATTGCGGAGTCCAGCTGTGCCACTGCCCTCCAGCCTAAGCAACGGAGTGAGACTCCAACTCAAAAAAAAGAGTAAAATTGAAAAGTGTATTTTTCTCTAAAAGTAAATGTGCAAAAACTTCTTTCATATCATAAGTAAGTTAGGTGGTGCCTATCCAAGATTAAAAGTGAAAAAAGGAATAATCCACATTTGAAATTCCTGAAAATTAACAATACCAGGATCATTCACTATCTGAATCTATTTGATTCTTGAGGCACTGAAGTTCAAGTACTCTAAGGTAGTAGTCCCTAACCTTTTTGGCATCAGAGACCAGTTTCTTGGAAGACCATTTTTCCACAGATGGGGGCGGGGTGGAGTGGAGTGGACTGTTTTGGTATGATTCAAGCACATAATATTTATTGAGTACTTTATTGCTGTTATTATTACATTGCAATATATAATGAAATAATTACACAACTCACCATTAAAAAGAGAGGCGTGGATGGAAGTGGTAAATAAAATAATGGGCGGGCCATGCACGGACTAAAAAGTGTCAGATTGTGACTTAAAGCCTGCCACGAGATGCAGCTGTACAACTGAAGTACATCGGCTCCCTTACCACTCACTGACAGGGTTTTGATGAGTCTGCAAGCAACTGATTTAGTATGCTCTCTGTGCAGTCAAACCTCACTGCTAATGTTAATCTGTACTTGCAGCTGCTCCCCAGCTTTAGCATCACCACCTCAGCTCCACCGCAGATCATCAAGCATTAGATTCTCATAAGGAGTGCACAACCTAGATCCCTCACATGCACTGTTCACAACCACGACAGGGTTCACACTCCTGTGAGAATCTAATGCCGCTGCTGATCTGACAGAAGACGGAGTTCAGGTGGTAATGAGAGCAGTGGGAAGTGGCTGTAAATACAGATGAAACTCCGTTCGCTCACTCACCCACCGCTCATCTCCTGCCGTGTGGCCAGGCTTCTAACAAAGCCATGGACTGGTACAGACCCCAGGGTGGGGACCCCTGCTCTGAGGCAAAAGAGGGGCAATGTAGATAAGTGAGAAGCATTTTGACTCAGTACCGGGGAGTGGGTGTGGCCCTGCCAGTGTCTCTTATAAACTGAGCAACATTGAGAAAGTCACTTAATATCTCTGGATTCAGATTTTATCCACTGAAAACAAGAAGGGTTGACAAACTAATATTTAAACTCCTTTTTAAGTCTAATATCCTCTGAATCTATAGACACAGAGAAAGGCCCTTTATCTCTGAATAGTTATACAGCTAACAGCACATATTAATACTGGAAATTCAAGGAAGGGTCATAGGATAACTGGGATCAGTTAAATAGACTATTTTCTGAAGTTTCTCATGTCATTTACAATTAACAGAAAACTAAAACCCATGAAAATATTTGCCTTTGCTGAACAGCCCTCCACCGTTTTGAATCATGCAAACTATGCATGTATTTTCTAATAAATATATGATCTGCCTAGTTGGAGAGCCTTATACAAGAAGTTAAAAAAGTAGGTACAGTGTCTAAGCATGAGTGCAAACCAGAGCCTAGAAAAATAATGGACATGATGTATTTTTTAAATTACTTATTTATTATTATTATTTTAACTTTTAATTTTTTTATTTTAAAGATGTGGGGTCAGGCACGGTGGCTCACGCCTGTAATCCCAGCACTTTGGGAGGCTGAGGTGAGAGGATTGCCTGAGCCACAGGTTCAAGACCAGTCTGGGCAACTTGGCAAAACCTCATCTCTACAATAAACAAATAAAAAAAATAGCCAGGCATGGTGGCGCGTGCCTGTAGTCCCAGCTACTTGGAAGACTAAGGCAGAAGGATTGCCTAAGTCCAGCAGATTGAGGCGGCAGAGGCTGGGAGCGTGCCACTGCCTTCCAGCCTTGGTGACAGAGCGAGACTCCAACTCAAAAAAAAAAAAAGATGTGGGGTATAATTCAGAGTTAGGTATACATATGTTCATTATGCAAGTACCCTTGTTGATGAGGTGTGCCCCCATTCCCCACGTAGATTCCTACCGCCAATCCCACTTCCCCGCTCCCCTCCTGGCAGTTTCCCGCTACTGCCAATCATTTTCTTATAGTATTATGATAAATGATGTATTTTTTTTAAACCTATGTAGAAAATTAGAAGAACAACAAGGTAAAAAACGAAAAAGTAAACAACTGATTGCTAAACACTTCCCAGCATGGTGCCTTGCACACAAAAGCCACACCATAAAGAAGAATACATGAATGGAGGAGTAAAGTTTGCCTCTTCAAATTCCTTCAAGTCTTAGAATCACAATCTATAAAATACCTGTTTTTTATGGAAATCCTTTAGGGCCGTTTCGTAGCCTTCCTCCAGTCTACTGAAGGCTATTCCTACATCCGTAGTCCACCATATCTGTGAGCTGGTTAGTGCAACTTGAGCTGGGAAATCAAAAATCCAGAGTTCTCTGGGTTTTTCTTCATAGGCCACGATGGCCTCTGTGATAGAACAACGCACTGTTTCCTGCATGGTCTGTTCAAGTTGCAGAAGCCACATTTCCACCTTTTGAAACAAATTGAAACATTGTAAGACAGGCTTAACTATGGAAGAATAATAACTCTATCCTGCCACCGGCTGAGGCCATGCAGAGAGTAAGACCTCAAGTGGATTTAGCTTAAACCCATGTAGAAAACAAAGGAGGAATACCTCAAAAGGGAAGCCAAACCCTAACCCTAACCCTAACCCTAACCCTAACCCTAACCCTCAAAAGGGAAGCCGAACAACTGATTGCCGAAGACTTTCTCCTGGATGAACCTGTCTTCTCCCAGGGATACAACTCATCTTGTTTTACCTAGCAGCTGGCTAATAACTTCCCACAGCCCAAACAGAGAGGTGTTCTCTATTATTCACTTCTTGACTTTGAAGACAAGAAGAGTCTAGACCAAGGTTCCCCTTGGTAACACACGGTGCTTTGAGAAACCAAATGTCACAGCCACCTATGGAAGTATTAGTCATATTTTAGTGCTTTGGAGATCATGAAAAGTTAATTTTAAAATTTATCTTCTGGTAATTTTTTAATCTACTGAAAATTCTTCCCTAAAATCCTCATAGTTCTTGTTTTTAAGATAAAGTGTTTTCAGCAACTATCTTAATTATATTTCCCACTGGTTCTAATCTTCACACTTGTCAGAAATTAGACAGCAGGAGAGTATAAGAGATCAGACAACTGCTGACTTGTGAAAACTAATTTTTTTTAATCACATTTATTCTGTTCCCTCAAATATATCTTAGCTAGTTTTCCATTCTATTCAAATGCATTTTGTTATATTGATCCAGATATCAGTTTCTATGGGGTGATATCATATAACTAAAAAGATACATATCCTATTTGCAAATAATTGACCATGGCAATACAAAATGACTCTAATAAGTGAATGCCAAGGGCCACATGAGATGCTGAAGGTACTACAACTGATTTCTTCCTCTGCCCCTGTGAAGAGGGCAGCAGCATTCCTAGCACCTCCTCTCTTGAGCACTTCCTCTCTTGGGAAGGAGTGTTACGTGGTTAACAAGCTGACAATCTTCTCTCTTAAAAGAAAAAGGTAGCACCGCTCTAGGAATGGGCCCAGTGCCTCTTATTAAAAGCCTTTGCTTCTAGTTTCATAGCTGCGCTTTGTTAACAAGCATGAGTTCAGTTTAATCTGATGCGATTCGGTGGTTCTGATCTAGCCAATGGGATCATGTATTTCTGCCTTAATAACCAAACACAATTCTTTTTTCTTTTTTTTCTTTTTTTTTGGTGAGTCGGGGTCTCACTCTGTTGCCCAGGCTGGAGTGCAATGGAATGATCAGCTCATTGCTACCTTGACCTCCTGGGCTCAGGTGATCCTTCTGCATCAGCATCCCAAGTAGCTGGGACTACAGATGAAAGCCACCATGCCTGGTGATTTTTTTTTTTTTTTGGTAGAGACAAGGTCTTATTATGTAACCTAGGCTCCTCTTGAACTCCTCGGCTCAAGTTATTCTCCCACCTCAGCCACCCAAAGTGCTAAGATTACATGAGCCACTGTGCCTGACCTAAAGCCCAATTCTTCATGTCACCAGGAAACAAGTTTCCTCAGTAAACCATTATTATTTAAACATCTCCTAGATACTCTGGGATCCATATCTTCAATATGACCACCTGTCTTCAAGAATTTCCTTGTCCATTTGGGAAGATCAAACATATGACATGTATGTCAACAGAATGATCTCATGTTCTGATGACCATGCCAGCCACGGCAACCTAACTTAGTATGATCTGAGAATGAGGCTGTGATGAGGTAAGTTCTTAGTTCTTACTGGATCCTTCCCTTTTTGGTATCTCACAACCAACCTTCTACAATCACAATTATCACCTCCAATTATCACTCATTATTGTATATCCATTTCCTCAATGAGCCCAAGAGTTCCTCAAAGACAAGGGTCATGTCTTGTTTACTTCTGGGTCCCAAAAGCCTGACTTAGCATCTGATGCACAGTAGGTATTCAATAAACACTTAATGAATAGCATACAAACACACTAGATTGGGAGGAGCCAATCCTAAGAGTGCAGAAAGAGAAAAAGAAGACTTAAAGTAAGAGCATCTTTCTACAAAACACAGGCAATTAGAGAGCGGATTTGTATATGCTCACAAGTCTCTAGCATAAGTTGCTTCTACAGAATAAATTAGAGCACTATAAAAACTTTCAATTTCAAGGGTTTCTGCTAGTGACAACCACATCCATCAATTGGACTATCCCCCTCTGGGCACCGTGCCAGTCTGCGAGCAGGCTTCTGGGAGGTAGCAGACAGCAACATACTTTTGTCAAGATAGTTTATGGCAACTTTTTCTAATCATTATAATAATATCCTAAAAAGCCCAAGAGAGCAAAAAGTATATTTTAATCAAAGTATCCCACCATCTGCTTCTCCTTCATTTGGCAGGATTTTCCTGGAACAATATTAAAAAGCAATGGAAAGGAGTAAAGAAAACCCCTGTAAAATAAGGTTGCAATCACATTTGTGCAAAGAGCACTTCCAAGAACCCCTGCACCAACCCAAATGGTCCTCTGATACAGGTTCTTCCCTTGGTTCCTTTTTAATTTTTTTTAAGCAAGCATCATCATAAAAAGATGCAATTCCCCAAAATTTTCTGAATACACCCAAAGTGCTTTCATGAATCATAACAAGTCATTCCTGTGGATAACTGTGAAGAATATTTTTTAAGTATTTGGCTGTGAGAAAAGAGAATGTGCTAACTTAACTCTCTGAACATGGTATTTAGAGCACATGACATCAGCTCGGTAGATTTAATCAACTTTATTTACAAGCAGCCATTTACAACTTCTACAACAGAATACTGAGCCGCAAAGCCTCTTGAAAACATGCTTTATTGCAAGGTGTTTCATACTAACCCTTCTCTGTATTCTCTGAGTGGTGGTGAATACAGAATATGCTTTGTTAGACTCAGTCACTGGGTTGCGTTTGCTACTAATTCTAGGGCTGCTCATTCAGTTTGTGACAGTTGCTTCTGCCTAGTTCAACGCCTAGCGTCTCTGAAATCCTGCTGGGTGCTGGAGCCAAATGAGCAGAAACTGGGACACATGGCAGAGCAGTCCTCTGTCACACTGGATATAGGTAAAAAGGGAGCTCTGAGCACAAAACCAACCAAAGCCTGAACTGACATGAATTGATTTTTAAAAATTCTTATTCAATTCAACCTTTAGAGTATCCTGGATCCTCCCCAGCATAGAAAACCTCAAAATCAAATCTTACATGGCCCATGCATTCACACTCGGCTTGGAATGGGACATACTCCTTTTCTTTGCTGTACATTCCAATTGCTCTGTGTGCAGAAACGTCCTGATTGTCTTCAAACTGCAGACCTGTGATGCTGTCGAAAAGTTTGGCGAGGTGACGTGTTACCTAAAACAGGAATATTCGAAAAGATGAGAGCATTTCTTACTCTAGGTGTGCTCTGGTAACGTAGAGATGACACTATGTGAAGTCAAAAAACTTTATCAAGTTACAAAATTGTCTCAAAATATTTTTCCTCAAAATAAAAGTCACTTTTAAAACCGTCAGAGCTTGAAATGACCCTGGCAAAGAAGTGGCCAGGCCCTATGGCCACTCATCACATGCTGGTTAATGAGTGCTTACCATTCAAAGTGGCCTATTCCTGTCAATGATCAGCCTGCTGGGACGTCTGTGGTCAAGTTTTAAAAATTTAAATATATATCTTTAGTCTATACTATTGAAAAGCTGTTAAAATCTCTGAAACAAGCCGGACTCGCTGGCTCAGCCTGTCATCCCGCACCTTTGGGAGGCTGAGGTGAGTGGATTGCCTGAGCCCGCAGGTTCGAGACCCGCCTGGGCAGCGAGACCTCATCTCTACAATAAATCAAAAAATCAGCCAGGCGTGGGAGCGCATGCCTGTGATTCCGGCTACTTGGAAGGCTGAGGCGGAAGGATCGCCGGAGCCCAGCAGGTCGAGGCTGCGGTGGCTGGGAGCGGCCACTGCACTCCAGTCTGGGCGACAGAGTGAGACTCCAACTCAAAAAAAAAAAAAAATCTGAAACAAAAATGTAAATTAGATAGAGTCTTGCACTTTTGGATCTGATATTATCATGCACTTGCTTTGATACATTTATGAGCCCTACAGCATCATTGGGACATAAGAAAGGTGAAAATAATCTCCCCATTTTCATTAATAAGGAAATTGAAGAAGTAAATTATCCGTATCAATATCACTAAAACTAAGTGGCAGTTTTGAATCTATGATTCAAGGCCACATAGATAAAATAGGTCAGATTCTTGTGACATCATAACCTCTTGCATCCTAAGTTTTGTGCTCTCCAAAAGAGCCCCAGAGAAATAGCACATTGAATTCTATGCCGTTTCCACACAATTTGAAAACAATAAAAGCAAAAACAAAAAAGGATCAGATCAAAAGACAAAATATCAGCATTTGTCTTGCTAGAGGACAGTCTAAAGAATAAAATCTAAGTGGGCTCCATACACAAGCCCAGAATTAGTAATACTTACCCATCCAGTCTGTCAGCCCAGACCAGAACAGGCCTATCCCCTCCACCCCAGGGACCACTGCCTTATGTGCTCTATATCTTTGCTATGGAAGAAAGGAGAGAAAGTCATGTGTTCTATTGGTAGACTCACACCCAAGAAGAAGGAGAACAGACCTAATCAGGTCAGTCACTCTATCGTTTCTCTTTGGGTGGACTGAGTAGAGAGCAGAGACTGGCCCAGAGGGACTATCAGAAGTGAGAGGAAATGTTCCCTCTTCATATATGGTGCAAATAAAAGCTGCTAAGTGGAAGACAGTTTGGTGATTCCTCATGAAGTTAAACATAGAATTACCAATGATCCAGCACTTCCACTCTTAGGTAGATACCTAAAAGAGTTGAAAACAGGAACTCAAACAGATATCTGCACACCCATGTTCCAGAAGCATTATTCACAATAGCAAAAGGTGGGAATAACCCATATGCCCATCAACCTATGAAATGGATAAATTGTGGTATATCCTTACAATGGAATATTGTTTCGCCATAAAAAGAATTGACATACTGGTGCATGTTACAACCTGCACAAACCTTGAAAACATCAAGCTAAACAAAGACGGCAGCGACAAAAGACCTTATACTGTATGATTCAACTTATATAAGATATCCAGAATAGGTTAACCTGTAGATATAGACAGCAAATTGGTGGTTGCTAGGAGGATGTGGGGGAGAGGTATGAAAAGTGACTGCTTAATGGAAAGTGGGTTTTATTTTGGGGAGATGAAAATGTTTTGATACTAGGTAAGAATTGGTGGTTGTGCAATATTTTGTGAACATACAAAATTCCATTAAATTGTATATTTAAAATGGATAATTTTATATTGTATAAATTTCATCTCAGTAGAAAAAAATATATAAGAGCTACTGATAATCTAAAGATGGTTTGAAGTTATATAACATTTTCCCATCATATAGACTGTCTCCATAGTGAGTTTTTCTTCACATATAGTTTAGCTGGTCTTGATAACTATACAATAGCAACTTCTAGAAAGAATAGTAACCTGCCTAAATTTCCAGCATGACAAGGCCAACACCAATATTGGTTAAAATAACAACAAAAAACTCCTTAAGAGTGATTTCATCTTTGAAGCTTCTAGCCTTTTTATTTTTGCTATATTTGCAGTTTTAGTATTAAAGAAAGTCACAGCAAGACGGGCTCGGTGGCTCAGCCTGTAATCCCACGCTTTGAGAGGCTGAGGTGAGTGGATTGCCTGAGCCCGTGGGTTTGAGACCCACCTGGGCAACTTGGTGAGACCTCATCTCTACAATAAATCAAAAACTTAGCCGGGTGTGGTAGCACATGCCTATAGTTCCAGCTACTTGAAAAGCTGAGGCGGAAGGATAGCCGGAGCCCAGCAGGTCGAGGCTGTGGTGGCCGGGAGCAGCCACCGCATTCCAGTCTGGAGGACAGAGTGAGACTCCAACTCAAAAAAAAAAAAAAAGAAAGTCACAGCAAGAAGTCTTCTGAGTTTAAAACAGATGAGGTTTTGAGACCCTCGCTTATTTTCAACATAGGCAGAGTGGAAGCCAACTGATCACAGCTTGGGTCATCATAGTCTCCTCTGGCCCTATACATTCCCCAAAGGACATTTATACAAAGAAAGTTTCCCCAATAACCTAATAATTCACTCTCACAGCTGAAGTGGCCAGGAAGCGCACCTATGTTGAATGGCATCTACTGTGTTATGGGTCTAGAGAACACTCCATTGAAAAGCCCCATGATAAATGATACCTCATAAATAGATAAATCAGACACACCCTCAAGCACTATTGCTTAGGTGAGAAAATTATTTCAAAAGAATAGTTCTGCAACCACTGAGTCAGTGACTAGGAAACGTCAACCTCATGGCTTAGAGTTCTCCTATTACTTAGACCTAGCATAGCTGAAGTAGGATGTTTCCATCTTGTCATTTTTATTTTTATTTTGAGACAGAGTTTCACTCTCTCACCCAGGCAGTACAGTGTGCAATCCCAGCTCACCACAGCCTCTACCTCCTGGCCTCAAATGATCCAGTCGCTTCAGCCTCCTGAGCAGCTGGGACTACAGAATGTGCCAACATGCCTAGCAAATTTTTTTTGTAAAGATGAAGTCTCACTATGTTGCCCAGGCTGATCTTGAATTCACCGACTCAAGCCATCTTCCCGCCTTGGCCTCCCAAAGTGCTGGGATTACAGGCTTGAGCCACTGCGTCCGGCCCATATTCTGTCTTCTACTTACAGTTTCTGAGGGAATAGTACTTTTTTTTTTTAAACTAATGTGAACTCGGTTGCTCTCAGACTTGTTTTATTTTATATGAGATCTCTTTGTGTTTGTTAATACAAAATTAAAATTCCTTCTCCTCAGTTAGCTGTTTGAAAAGACCTTTTGTGTTACAACTACAACAGCAAAAATACATTAAAAAACTAACTTTCATAGGCCCCTCTTTTGCACCCTCTTAAGATAATGGACTTGAACACTTCAAGTCATAAAAAAAAAAAAAAGAGCCAATAACGGCATCATATATTTTAATTAGGTTCCCTAAAATGTTAGTCACAAAAATGGAAATGTTGTTCCCTCAGTTTATAATAAGTTAGGTATATTCATCTGATAGTGAACCCAGGCAGTCCTGGTTTTGCACAGTAGTACAAGATCGTAAAAATGACCACACAAGGCCAGGCGGAGTGGCTCATACTTGTAATTCCAACACTTTGAGAGGCTGAGATTGGAGGATTGCTTGGGCACAGGAGTTTGAGACCAGCCTGAGCAACACAGCAAGATCTCATCTCTAAAATAAATAATATTAATATAAATGAAATTAAATTAAAAATGACCACACAAGCTGACGTCACATGGAGTCATCTAAATAATCAAGAGGAAAACCTATGATTGTGCCATGATCTTTAAAATTTTTTATTAAAACCTCTCACTGTTGGTTATGAACGTATAGGGAGATGAAAAAAACTGTAAACTAATATGTTGTAGGCTGCAATTTAAAACATTAAACACACTGAAACTTCATTGTTTTCTGTGTGGGAAGTGTCTCAAGAGTAGTTTAAACAGTGCTTGTTGTTGCCTTCTTGTCTCACAACTTAAGGTATAGAACAAGCATCTTTTCTATGCTGTGGCAAACTGTCCTCGTCCCTTCAAATTTAGATTAGCCACCAGCATTTTATTTTCTAAGCTTTTGATGTCATAAAATTTCTTTAAAAGTTTTTAAACGTAAAGTTATTTCTTTTTTCTGGCATCACTTCCTCTGGGATATCCTCTTCATTCTCTTTGTCATAACTGCTGTTCTTATTTATGCCACCAAGTTCATTTTCAACAAGTTTCCCTGGTTGCATATCAGACCCTCTCAAATGGTGCAGGATCATCACTCCCTCCCAACTGTCTCTTCTGTCACTCCCATCTGTGTTTGATCCAAATCTCACTTTCTGGCGTTATCAATTTTCATGTATCGGCTACGCTTTCAGTTTTGTTATAAATTACCTCTGTCTGTTATCTATACTGTAACATGTCATGTGGGTTCATCATTAGGGATAAGGAAGTCATGGAACTACAAGCTTAGCTGCCTGTGTGTGAATCGACTCACAAGCAGTGGTTGGTCACTGACAGAATGACAAAGATGTGACAGAACTGTCACCAATCATGGTGCTTATGTTGTTTAGGCAGTTATTTCTGTGGACTGAAGAGTTAGTAACAAGGCTTGTGCTTTATACAATCACTCACAGTTAATATCCCATAGTGTCTGAAGTGTGAACCATGTCACCAGGGCACTAGTGTTATTTAGCCAATCTTAGTAACTGAAATTCACACATATCAGAACTCTGCACCGAGAGAACCTCTTACTAAATATAAGAACTTACATG